AAAAATGTTATTATGAACTTACAACTGTGTAAAACGTGACTACCTATATTGGTTGTCCGGTTTGATTTCCAACTGTAACTATACTTAATGTTAATCCGTCACTTCATCTTTCCATTTTACTTTTGAAAATGACATTCACATAATGAAATAAACTAAAGCGTGCAATACTTTATTGGGATTTTAGGGTTTGTGGTGATCAGGGTGTTTGAAAATGTGGACATCGCTCGCCTTATGTTCATGTTCTGTCAACTGTACAAGGACAGCCGGATATGACAGAAAATGACTGTGAGCCTAACATTTATCAACCATCAGAACCTGTCCTGCTTCGGAAAAGGATGCAGAGGATGTGGAGGGGTCTTCGATTGGGAGTACGCAGGAAGAAGAGCTGCAGCGAGAAGCTCCACGCACACAAAGAGAACGTAGGGCGCCAAGAATGTTCAGATATGACTCACTCGGGACTCCGTCATGCTATTATGTTGCTGCAGTTACACCTTATGGGCCTCCTGCATGGCATGTGCCATTTTTTTTGTAATAGCAACACAAACTCTTACCTTTGTGAGATTTGATTTGAACCAAAATTAAATTGGACAATTGTTTTGGTACTAAGGTTAATGTTTTGTTATTGTTACTCACTGGTAATTTGAGGATGCAACCAGTTGTTTCATACTTTTGCAGGTTCTATGTGTTTTGTGTTTGTACCTGTGACTTGGAGTACTACTTACGGAAATGTTGCGGACAACATTTATTTTTGTGGGGGAGTGTGTAACTAGATGATTTTAGTTGTTAATGCAGTTATGTGGAGTGTCCATCAGGGGGAGACGCACTTGAGCTTCACCTAGGCTACGTCTTTCCTCATTCAAAACCAGCAAGGCTTGAGGAAAGACGTGTCCTGGTCTTATTTTTATTTTATCCCCTTTTCAGGTATGGTATGATATACAGAATGTCATAAACCAGTCATTATTGTTTTATATTGAGTTAATGTATCTGTGAAACGAATCCAGTGTGATAATTTAGTCTAGTAGGCTGTTGTTTCAAGGAGCTCCGCTAGTTGCTAACCAAATTAGCATTAGCTTCACGTTGCAAGCGCGGGAACAGTGGAAAACGTTGAATGTTAATTTAAATGTGTTCAAATGTAAGAAAGATTGTTTTTCTGATTCATAAACCAGCAAGGCTTGAGGAAAGACGTGTCCTGGTCTTATTTTTATTTTATCCCCTTATCAGCGCTATTACACACACAATATGTATGCTAAAAATGTGTTTTAGCAGCTGCAGTACATCCAAAATGCAGCAGCTAGAGTCCTGACAGGAACCAGGAAGTATGACCATATTAGTCCGGTCCTCAGGTCTCTGCACTGGCTTCCTGTGGCTCAAAGAATAGATTTTAAAACGGCTCTGCTTGTGTACAAGTCTCTCCATGGCCTTGCACCAGAATACATTAGTGACATGTTGGTGTCATATGAACCAGCCCGGACTCTGAGGAGCACAGGGACTGGCCTCCTGCTGGTGCCCAGAGTGAGAACCAAACATGGGGAGGCTGCGTTTCAGATCCATGCAGCTAAGATCTGGAACAATCTCCCTGAAAATGTGAGGGAGGCGTCTACTCTGTCAATGTTCAAATCCAGGTTAAAGACTGTTCTGTTTGCCTGTGCATACAACTGAAGGATTTTATCTCCATTTTTAATGCACTGCTGTCATTTATTTATTTTTTTAAATTTCTTGTGTAATTTTGAAAGTTTTAATGGTTTTATTCTTTTGTGTGATTTTAATGTTTTAATTGTGTTTTAATCTTTTGTGTGATTTTAATGTTTTAATTGTGATTCTGGTGTTTGTTTTATGTGATGATTTGTGATGTGGACTGTGAAGCGCTTTGTGTTGCCATGTGTATGAAAGGCGCTCTACAAATAAACTTTGATTGATTGATTGATATGCGCAGTAGGCAGAGCAATATGGCGACAGGAGTTAAGTGACTTGATAGGGGCAGGGGGACAGGTTATGAAGAGTTCAAGAGTCCAACGGCAGAGGGGAAGAAACTGTTCTTGTGGCGGGAGGTTCTAGTCCTGATGGACCGCAGCCTCCTGCCCGAGGGGAGTGGTTGGAACAGTCCATGTGCAGGATGAGAGGGGTCGGCTGTGATACGACCAGCCCAGCCTCAAGCTCGGGCGACGTGCAAGTTCTGCAGCGATGGAAGGCTGCGACCAATCACCTTCTCTGCAAAGCGCACGATGCGCTGTACTCTCTGCTTGTCCCTGACTGTGGCTCCAGCGAACCACACGGTGATGGATGAGGTGAGGATGGACTTGATGATGGACGTGTAGAACTGCACCAATATCTGTGCAGGCAGCTTGGCTTTCCTGAGCTGCCGCAGGAAGTACAACCTCTGCTGAGCAAAGAACACAGCCCTGTGGGGCACCTGTATTTATGATCTGAGCCCCAGAAAAAATTTACACCTTTTTCTGCGCAATTTTCATACATGAGGCCCATTGTGTTTACTGAATGACACCAGGAATGTTCATTGTGTTCAAGTTTTGCTGACTGGGTGGCATTTTACATCACATGAGAATCAGAATGCATGTTGGAGCAGAGATACATGCAAAATGTGTTTTAGCAAAGGAAAATTTTGATTTAGCAAAGGCAAAATGTGTTTAGAGTTTTGAGAAAAAGGGGATGGGTTTTGTGTCTGAATCGTGTTTATGGTTATGGAAAGTGGGGGGTAGTTTTACTAAATGTGTTTAGGCAACTGGTCATTTGGTTTAGAGTACTGGGTTTTGTGTTGTAGCAATAGAGAAAAACTGAATACATAAATTTAAATAAATAATTAAATAAATATATATTTTTATTTTCTGGCTTATTGAAACCTTAATAACATGATTTGATATTTGCCCCCTATCTTACAAAGATCCTCAGCACTTATGTGAAATTCCACCAGATGTACCATCACAGAAGGAAAGCTGAACCCCAATATATATACCAGTGGGTTCGGGTCCTGGCTCAAAAGTGGCCAAAATGACGTGCGCTGACATGCTCGCAATACCACCCCGGGCCGATGGGGGTGGTATAACCCTAACCAGGAATAAGAATTGGTCAATGCTAACATATAGCATCTTCTTACCTCTCAAAAACACCTTTACAGGATGGTCCAAACGTTGGCTCTTGGCCCAAAGCTCCGTTCCACATGTGTGTCAATGCTGAGGGGAGTGAATTTTTTTGGACCAGTCTAGTTTACTCGCTGTGAATTTTTGAAGTCACTTGTTTAAATGAATGGGGCTCGTGCAGGCTGACGCATGCGCAGATGCGTTTTTTCACATTTGCCAGCCCACACGGCCATATTGAATCACTCCAAGAAAGCCCACTTTCCCTCTCCCTCCGTGTCTGCATAGGTTTCCTCCAGGTGCTCCTGTTTCCCCTTCCACTAAAAACACGTACAATAGGTCTGGCATGCGCCTCTTGTACTGGCAACCCTGCTCCCTGTGTGGAGTGAGAGACAAATGCCCACAATTGTGAACCGCTTTGTGACTCTGGTCTTTGAAAGGCAGTATATAAATAAAGATTACTTACTTACTATGCAAATGAGCTCTCTCTCTAGTCGATTGTGAGCCTTACTTGCTTTCCAAATGAGCTCTCTCTAGTCGATTGTGAGCCACAGGAGACTATAATACTAAATGTACATACAGTGCCTTGCGAAACCTTTCAACCTGAACCTTTCAACATTTCGCCACAATCGTAACTACAGCTGAGGTGGGAGAGTCTGTCCATAGGACAACAATCAGTCGTGCACTGCACAAATCTGGCCTTTATGGAAGAGTGGCCATTTCTCAAAGATGTCCATAAAAAGTCTCGTTTAAAGTTTGCCACAAGCCACCTGGGAGACACACCAAACATGTGGAAGAAGGTGCACTGGTCAGATGAAACCAAAATCAAACTTTTTGGCCACAATGAAAAACATAATGTTTGGCGTAAAAGCAACACAGCTCATCACCCTGAACACACCATCCCCACCTCAGCTGTAGTTATCTGCAGTTCATCCAGAGTGATCATGGGCCTCTTGGCTGTATCGCTGATCAGTCTTCTCCTTGTTTGAGATGAAAGTTCGGAGGGTCTTTGTAGATTTGCAGTGGTCTGATACTCCTTCCATTGCAATATAATTGCTTGCACAGTGCTCCTTGAGATGTTTAAAGCTTGGGAAATCTTTTTGTATCCAAATCCGGCTTTAAACTTCTCCACAACAGTATCTCGGACCTGCCTGGTGTGTTCCTTTGTCTTCATGGTTCTCTCTGCGCTTTAAACAGAACCCTGAGACTATCTAAGAGCAGGTGCATTTATACGGAGACTTGATTACACACTGGTGCATTCTATTTATCATCATCAGTCATTTAGGACAACATTGGATCATTCAAAGATCCTCACTGAACTTCTGGAGTGAGTTTGCTGCACTGAAAGTAAAGGGGCCAAATAATATTGCACGCCCCACTTTTTAGTTTTTTATTTGTTAAAAAAGTTTAAATTATCCAACAAATTTTGTTCCACTTCACAATTGTGTCCCACTTGTTGATTCATGACAAAAAAATTAAAATTTTATATCTTTATGTTTGAAGCCTGAAATATGGCGAAATGTTGAAAGGTTCAAGGGGCCGAATACTTTCGCAAGGCACTGTATAATAAACTATATAAAGTATCAACTATTATATAGTATAGATATTATTTTTTATTACAAACACTATATACCTTAAGTATAAACTAGTGTAGTGCTTTTACCCTGGTTTAGACCCGGATCACTATGTTTCTTGTTCTTGGAGGCCTCATATTTTCATAATTGTGGCGACATGATAAAGAACCACTGTGTTCAAGCACACATTTGTGTTTTCAACAACAAACACTATTTTAATTCTTGATCAAAACAGAAGTGAAGTATCGAGTCTCGCGATGGCAGCATGTTTTCTCCAGCTCAAAGGATTCCAAATGGAGTCTTTTGATTGGTGCTTTGGAGAGGACCCTGTTGGATCCTAGCACCAGCAGGTTTTATGGTCCTCAGTCATGTGACCACACAAACCCTCCTCCTCCTCCAGAGCGGTCAGGTCCAGCTGATTGGTCAGAGACGTCTGAAGAAGATCCAGGTCCTTTTTGTGCACAGTCAGAACCCTCTCTGCCAAACGGGTGAAGGTCTGCGGTTTAGGAAGAGAGGATGAGAAATGAAAGTTTGTAAAAACATATTTCTGGATTTGCATATCTACAACCCTCCATAGACTATTGACTCTATCCCTATAGAGTTGTATATTTAGCAGTGTAACTGTATTCTTACTTGAGTAGTACATTTCTGACAGAGCTGGAAGTAAATAGTATTTGCATTTGTAGTCAGAGACTTTTCAGACTAGAGAGAGTGAAGACAGCACTGATTTGTCGGTCTTTAAAGCTCAGGACTTTAAGCTTTAAAGATGTTACCCTACAGCATCCTGATTGGTCAAAAAGAATTTAAATCCTTGATGTCCCTTGCTATTGGTTAAACGGTTAATTCTAATGAAATTAAACTTACGCAGACACAGAGAGAACAAGCAAACTCAAAAAGGCAAAGAGGTCTTTAAACCACACACCACATATATACTTAAAATTTTCACTTTCACAAAACCCATTCCCCTCCTTGCCCTGGTGGCAGCAAAGAGAGCTACAGGGAGCTCTCACCGCAGTGCTGTTCCCTCTGGTAGCAGCATAGGGTGTTACAGGGAGCACTGACTGCAGACACTGCTCCCTCTGGTGGCAGCATAGGAAGATACAGTTAGCGCTGACTGCAGATACTGCTCCCTCTGGTGGCATCATAGAGAATTATAGGGAGCTCTCACTGCAGGTGCTCCAGTGTAATTGGTGCAACCAATTACCTTCAGTATAAATAGTGAAATGATGTCCCCCTGTGTGCAATCTAAGTGTCACATGATCTGTCAGTACATATACACACCTTTTTTGAAAGGCCTCAGAGGCTGCAACACCTAAGAGGCACCACTAACCAAACACTGCCATGAAGACCAAGGAACTCTCCAAACAAGTAAGGGACAGTGTTGTTGAGAAGTACAAGTCAGGGTTAGGTTATACAAAAATATCCAAATCTTTGATGATCCCCAGGAGCACCATCAAATCTATCATAACCAAATGGAAAGAACATGGCACAACAGCAAACCTGCCAAGAGACGGCCGCCCACCAAAACTCACGGACTGGGCAAGGAGGGCATTAATCAGAGAGGCAGCACATAGACCTAAGGTAATCCTGGAGGAGCTGCAGAGTTCCACAGCAGAGACTGGGTATCTGTACATAGGACAACAATAAGCCGTACGCTCCATAGAGTTGGGCTTTATGGCAGAGTGGCCAGAAGAAAGCCATTACTTTCAGCAAATAACAAAATGGCACGTTTTGAGTTTGCGAAAAGGCATGTGAGAGACTACCAAAATGTATGGAGGAAGGTGCTCTGGTCTGACGAGACTAAAATTTAACTTTTTGGCCATCAAGGAAAACGCTATGTCTGACGCAAACCCAACACATCACATCACCCAAAGAACACCATCCACAGTGAAACATGGTGGTGGCAGCATAATGCTAAGAGAATGTGTTTCGGGTCGCAGATTGTGACCAATCACAGCGGACCACTAGCTCCCACTTTCGTGAGAAATCTACAGGTCCGTTAGCATAGACAGCTGAGTTAGCACAACAAGCCGAGTAGCTAACCTGAAACTTTCTCGGCTTCGTCACCGGTTTCTGCTTACACAGCGAAACAGCCATCCAAAAGAAAGTCCTGTTCCTCCTCGCTTCCCGGATCTATCTTTCTATGGTCACACCATCCACATGCAAATCCATATCGATGTATCATCCATATTGGGAGACGCTAGCTCCGTCAACAACAGTGGGTGTGTGTGGGGGGCGATAGCTTCGTGGGTGCGGGGAGGGGAGCAGAAAGAGCGAGGCCAGCGGGTCCGCGGCTTCAAAATCCCAAAGTCAGTTTGTACAGCTTTAATTCCAAGTTGTGAGGCAACAAAACACACAAAATGCCAAGGGGGGTGAATAGTTTCTACATCTGTACATACATACATACATGTGTATTAATTGTACTGTGTATACTGTGTACTTGTGTGTGTACTTGTATGTGTGTATTGCGTGTACTTGTGAGTGTGTACTGTGTACTTGTATGTGTGTACTGTTTGTAAGGGCGTACTGTGTGTACTTGTGTGTGTGTACTTGTACTTGTATGTGTGTAAATGTACTTGTGTGCGTGTTCTTCTGTGTGTGTGCTTGCACTTATAGGTGTGTACTTGTATGTGTGTACTGTGTACTTCTCACCTCTGTAATATTCTGACTGGTGAAGGCACTTGTTTCAAAGAAGTCCATTCCGTATGCTTCGGCCAACTGCAGAAAGGAAACACTGATGTTAACAGAGAGAGAGCACATCACCCCTGTGCTGGCCTGACTCCACAGGCTTACAGGGACATGTAAGAGAGAGCACATCACACATGTGCTGTCCTGACTCTACCGGCTCAGAGGGACACATAAAGAAAGAGCATCTCACCCCTGTGCTGGCCTCACTCCACTGACTCACAGGGACACATTCAGGGTTAAATATAAAAGGACGTTGCTGACTTTTATAAGTTTAAATGGCTCTGGAATATCTGACATAGCTGAGGTCAGAGGTCATCTATGTCTGCTCTTGTCAGGGACTGTGACCTCTGTGGGACAGTAACCTCTGTAACCTGTGTCAGTGCGGGCCCTAATTGAAGACAAGGCAAAGTTCTAACTGAGTTCTTTGTTTTTTCTGTGTATTTTTTGTGTTTTAACTTAAAGAAACTAGACTTTTTTTGTGTTCTTTTTTTTGGCAAATTTCAAAAATAGAAAACCGTAAAAAAATGTTTTTTTTAAAAACACCTCATAAAGACTAAATATATTCCGATGTTTGTAAGTTTCCTCACCTTACTGCCTTGCTCCATGGCCACCTGCCTCCTGTTCTCCTCATCTGCTTTGTTTCCCACCAGGATCTTCTGCACCTTCTGAGGCGCGTACTGCACTCGGTCAGCGTGGAAGATAGAGAACATCAAGATTGTTGTAAACGTCAGGGACCAAGGGTCTTGTCCCTTGGTCCTCCAGGCAACGCCCTGGGGCTGGGCACAGGTGTTTAGTCGCTCTTTAAAGAGCGACTAAACACCTGTGCCCAGCCTTACTCCGCCCACATGAAGATTTGAAAATGTTCTCTTAAAAGGGCGTTGCCTGGAGGACCAAGGGACAAGAAGGGGGGCTTAGAGTTGGGCGTGGTCTGGGCTGTGATTGACAGCTCACTTGTCACACACAAAAAAACAGACAGTTGTCATTGCTGCTTAAAGCAATAGTTTACAGACCAGAAAGTCTCATTCCACCCTTGATAACACACTAAGATAATTGTAAAGCTACACACCTGAACCTAATCACACTCAATAATCTCAGAATCACTCATGTAATTTAATTTTAATCCACTAGATGGCGCCAGAATACTCCAAACTGCAGCTGGGGCGTGTGAGAGAGTTGAATGGGTTCACATCACTGGCTCTGACAGACTGACGTCACACAAAACAACTGATGTCATAGAGAACTTCAGAGTCAATGGAGAGGCCAGGACCAAATTAAAATGTAGTACCACCAAAAAGGTTGAGAGGGCGCCACACAGACGTTTTTTGGCTCAAAAGTGATATTTTATCTAATTTGAACTAAAATGTCAAAAAAATGACCAGGATATGTAGAGAGCACTACAATAAACATATTTATGGAGTTTATGAGTTGAAAAAAGTTGATTTGGCGTTTAGTCGCTCTTTAAGTTTGAGCGCGTAGCTATTGCCAGAGCAACACGCAGCCGCATGCCTTCATTCATTCAATTTGTTGCCTGTGTCAGTGTGCATTAATGACCAGAAAGTGAGTACCATGTGTGATTTGTTGATATGTGCAGCTTTAGCCATATGTCTGTGTTTATACTTAACAGACTTTACTCGTGTTTTCTTGAGTCTCAGTTTATCATTTGTGATGTGATGTACCTACTTCAAGTAGTATTCTAATGTCAAATGTTTGATTTTGCTGCTAATTTATAGTTCAAAGTTCATTCTATTGCTAGTTTATTATTAGTTACGTGACGTCTGTTGTGCATCTGACAATCTGCGCTGCGTCTTGTGCAAAAAATTAAAGGGCATGTCTGTAACTTTTTAGGAGCAACCAATTAAGTGCTGTATTTTTTTAATATTGAGTTATAGACCCAATATATAGCTGTTATATGATTATATATTTGATTATAACCTGTAAATAAGCTTCAACAGAAATCTCCCTCCTCTGGACCCTGATTCTCTGACCGGAATCTTTCCGTACTGTAATCTCCTCAAACCAGCATATTTCCCTGGAGCCTCCACTTCACTAAGACTGTGTTGTTTTCCTTCATTCAGCTGTGATTTGCACTGATAGACAATGATTAATGCATTTAATTATTCAACAATAAACAAAGGAACTTGATCAAATAAACATTTATTTGTGTTTCAGGCATTATATCGGTGTATTTGGCCCACGGCCCTCTGGCAATTTTTTAATTATACAATAATTTAGATTTTCCAAAATGGCCGCCACCTCGATGACGTCACAATTGGGAAGTTACATGACGAGTCAACATCCACCCCAAAGTTTAGTGAAGTTACTGAAGATATTTCTCGTTCACAATATGCCTTCATCTCAAACAACTTTGAAGATTATAGCCTTTTGAAATCTTGAAATCAAAATTGTAAATTTTCTTGGGAAAAAATGGGCTTAGTGCTGTGTGAAAATCACTCGTCAATGGCCTGGGCTCCGTACCATGCTCCTGTTTGCTGTCATCATTGCAACATGTCCAGAAGTTCAACTTTTTAGCACTAACCATGTTGTGGGTTTAGTCCATGGTTTTGTCAAGGAGAAATTTAGCATACAGCACTTACAGTCACACTGCTAGAAATCAGACATTGATTTACATTTGTAAATCTGAATGCTGTGATGTACAGAAAACACGGCACAGAGATTGCCCCTTAGCCAATCAGGACGCAGAACACAATACGTTGGTTCTTCCTTAGCCAATCAGGATGAACATTACAAGTTCGTATACAGTGAAAATAATGCTAATAAAAAATCTGCAAGTCTCTTCAGTGAACCGCTATTCAGCTGAAGAGACTCCGTTTCAGAATAAATGTTTTTTCCTGTACGGAAGTTTCTGTTTTGGTGTTTTTACTTTGTGTATTTGTTTTACTATCATCCTACATGTTTTAGATTATAGATTAGATAGTATGCCAGATCATATGTATCCCAATGAAAATAATGTTAAGCACTTTTTGATGTGAGAATTGTATACATGCTAAAAAAATTGAGGGGGGGACTGATCCCCCCATGCCCCCCTCTGGAGGAAACCCTGAAACTATACCACCACTTTCAACTTCTGTAACAACTTCAGTGGCTCAAACAGAGATGTCTGTTTTTACAGTATGTTTGTACAGAGTCTCCTAGAGACACCGCTCTATCAGCTGTTTTTGTTTGTGTGAACAGCAGAGACACAGGGATGTCGTCAGAAAAGTGAATGGCCTCTCTCAATCAAGTTTTAGCAGCTCTAGGACATATACAGTACAGACAAAAAGTTTGGACACACTTTCTCATTCAATGAGTGTCCTTTCTTTTCATGTCTATTGAGTGCAAGGGCTATTTGACCAATAAGGAGAGTGGTGGGGTGCTGCCAGATGACCTGGCCTCCAAAGTCACCAGACCTGAACCCAATCCAAATGGTTTTGAGGCTTGACCACAGAGTGAAGGCGAAAGGGCCAACAAGTGCCAAGCATCTGTGGGAACTCAGACCATTTCAGGTCCTCTTGAAGCTCATTAAGAGAATGGCAAGAGTGTGTGAAGCAGTAATCAGAGCAAAAGGTGCTACTTTGAAGAACCTAGAATCTATGACATATTTTCAGTTGTTTCATACTTTTTTTTTTTGTATGTACATAATTTCACATGAGTAAATTCATACTTTTGATGCCTTCAGTGTGAATCTATTATTTTCATAATCATGAAAATAAAAAAACTTATTGAATGAGAAGGTGTGTCCAAACTTTTGGTCTGTACTGTACATGTCCAACTAGACCGATTAGGTAAATGAGTCATGGAAGCTAACAGCTAATATGAGCTAATGTGAGCTAGTTGTTTATTCAAAGTAGGGCTGGGCGATAAAACAATAACAATATATATCGCAATAGACACATGTTCGATATCAATAGAATTGATATATATGGTCAATAGAGTGTTTGATTGTTCAACTTCCCTTCGTTAGAAAAAACAGGAAGAAAACACAAGAAGTAAAGCCGAGTCAGAAGCGCGTGGCATTCTGGGGGATGAAGGCAGAGGCTTCTCGACCTATCACAGCCGAGCATGGGCCGCAAAACATTCTGGGAAATGAAAAAACAACAACCGCACCATCTGTAGCGTCCATTGATCTATAGATCGTTTTTCGATGCTGTGTCAATAGTTATGCACGTATGTGCGAGGAATAGCATGTGCGGCGCGTGAGAGGCAGTGGACACAGAGACCCGATGCATTCGGCAAGAGATGAACCTTTTCGTCTGGAAGCACGTGCGGCTATCAGAGTGCCGTACAGAGCCGTCACGGGGACACAAGACACTCGAAAACAGCCAAAACAGGAACTAAACCAGGATTAAACCAGGACTAACAATGGGTGACACAATGCTTGTGAACATATTCCTCTAGCCTCATTCCCCCTTGACTGTAAACAAGGCTACTAACGTGTGTTAGCCGACACAACAAATTTTGTTTATTTAGGTTTTAAAAAAACAATCAATATATATCGTTATCGACCAATATGAATTACTTATATTGTGACATAGTTTTCAGCCATATCGCCCAGCCCTAATACAAAGATACTGTTTGAACACCAGTGTGTTTTAAAGTCCAGCAGGTTCTGTAAGTACATGTACTTTATCATGTAAATCTTTTCTTTAATAAATGCACTGATTTATGAAGTGAATGTTTTTTACCTCGTCCACGTCGCTTGCCCACTTCATGATGTGCTGAAACGATCGCTCACTGGTGATATCATACACCAGGAAGATTCCCTGAGTCAGCAAAATAAAGGTCAGATTATGAGTCAGCAAAAATACAGGGTAGATCTTGATTCAGCAAAACACAGGTTAGTTCCTGAGTCAAAAAAATAAAAGTCAGATCATGATTTGGCACAAATACAGGTCATACCATGAGTCAGCACAAATACAGGTCAGATCTGTGAATCTACTTAAACTGTTATAATGATGATATGTATAAAATACCGTAATATCCTGATCTGATTATCACATTAGGGTGCAGCAATAACACCTGCTGGAAATATACAATGTATACAGTTTTGCACCAAGCAGTTTGAAGAAAAAAAAGAAAAAATTTTTTTAATTAAAGCCGCAAGCGGTGTCGAACGGCCCTCGCCGTACCGCGCAACTCCCCACACTCCCCGCACAACTCTGCCCCGCACCAAGCCGCCCAGCATCACGCCGTCCCGCACCACGGCGTCCCCCACCACGCTGCCCCGCACCAAGCCGCAACGCGCCGCTCCACAACGCGCCGCACTACGCCGCACCACACCGTACCACGCAGCACCGCGCAAAGGAGGTGGCGCTGCCGTGTGATGATTTGTTCCCGGAGCCATAGAAGAATGCTAGTCAAATTGTAATTAATATGATAAGTTGAGCTCGTTTGGCTCCCCATGTAAACTTTGACTCAGTCTGTAGGGGGCGCTAATGGGCCAATTTAAAATATTTCACTTTCACCTGACCTAAACCCTGGAGTTGAACAATGGATTCATGTTTAATGCAAATCAGGCTTGCTTTGTGCAAACGGGAAAAAAATTAATGTTCTCAAAAACGGCCAAAAAAACCCCTCACATTTTGCGGCTCGGCTGCTCAAACAACGTTTCACTGATCTAAATTCCCTGAAGTCATTTTGAAGGTACATGTGTTGAGATAATTTGGAGCAATTTTGAGGCCAATCGGTGAAACGGCCGAGGAGGAGTCGCTTTCCAACCGACATGTATGAGAATGATTGGTTTTCATTTTTCCATTTTGCAATGAAATTTATGGGCTTCCTGTTTGTCAGAGGGCTTAGCCATAATAACATTTTTTTCCATGTCTTGACTTGAGGAACATGTGCACCAAATTACATGGTTCTACGACAATTTTGACCTCAAACCCCTCCCATAGGCGTTTTTAAATTGGCTGTTGTAGGTGGCGCTATAAAGCCAATTTCAATATTTTGACTTTCAAATGACCTAAACCCAAGAGATGAACCATGGATTCAAGTTTTGTGCCTATCAGACTTTGTGCAAACGGAAGCAATTTTTCTATTGTCAAAAACTGAAAAAAAATAAGCCACTTTTTGGCGCTCCACTGCTCAAACAACATTTCACTGATCAAAAGGCTGTGAAATCAAAATGATGGTACATGTGTTTAGACGATGTGGAGCGATTTTGAGGCAAATCGGTGAAACGGCCGAGGAGGAGTCGCTTTCCAACCGAAATGCATGAAAATTATTGCGGATCATTTTTCCATTTTATGGGCCTCCTGTTTGTCAGAGGGCGGAGCCATGATAACATTTTGGTTGTATCTTGACTTGAGGAACATGTGTACCAAATTTCATGAATTTACGACAAACTTGACCTCTGAAACTCCCATTGGCTGTTGTAGGTGCCGTTGTTCTGGCATTTTTTGAGTCCCATAAAAATAAACACCAAAATATGAAATTTTTCACCAGTTATGATGTTTGGGCAAAATTTTACAACTTTTCATGCATGTTCAGGGGGTGAAATTAAGGCTCAAAGTGCAGAATTTGACATCTCTCGAGCAAAAACAATAGGCCCTTTCCCCGTTCTGGGCTAGGGCCTAATTAAAAATTGGAAAATGACATCACAAGAGGAAGAGTCTAAATGCGACATCACAGGAGGAGTCTACAGAAACGTAAGGTTCAGTGACATAAGCCTTGCCTTTCGAGAGGTATGAATTTACTATACATTAGCATTGGTTAATTCTTATTTCGGGTCCACCCTCCGCCGGCCCGGGGTGGCACTGTATTGCAAGCAAGAAATTGTTAAAAATTAAAATTAGGGATAGTGCATATGAATGTATTCCTGTAAAGAAATGTCAAAAAGAGCGTGCTAAAGTACCATGGTGGAATAAAGACTGTGAAGATGCTGTGAGGGAGAGAAAAACTGCTTTTAGAGTGCTTAAAAAATTCCCAACACAAGAAAATGGAATAGTGTATAAAAGGTTAAGGGCTTCAGCCAGGAGAATAATCAAGTCGGCCAAAAGAGAGAGCTGGAAGAAGTATTGTAGTACACTGGGAATAGAGACTTCGCTGAAAGATATTTGGAGGGCTGTAAAACGTATGTCAGGAGTTAATCGGAGAATTGACATTCCAGCTTTAGAAGACAAAGGGTCGTCAGTATCAACAGAGTGGGGAAAGGCCAGGGTACTCCTAGATAAGTTCAGAGCAGTTCACAGTGGTGAAATTTTACAATTAGAGGACAGGAGGAAGAGAGATGTTACGTTGGAGGCAAACAGGCACAAGCTCGAAGTTAGTGATGACAATTCCAATGTGTGTAATATGTATTTTTCCTTGGAGGAGCTGGAAAGCGCAATTGGCAAAGGGAAAAGGTCTGCTCCTGGGAAAGATGGGATTAGTTATGAGTTACTTAAAAGATTGAGTGAGAATGTGTTATATGAATTGTTGGCTCTTATTAATAATGTTTGGAAGCAGGCAGTAGTCGTGCCTATTCTTAAACCTGGAAAGAATGCGTCTGAGGCAGGCTCATATCGACCAATTGCTCTAACTTCTGTTTTGTGTAAGGTGATGGAAAGAATGGTTACTAACAGGCTTGTCTATAGACTCGAAAGGGAGGGCAAACTATCACCTGTGCAAAGTGGGTTTCGAAAAGGTTGGAGTACTATGGATTCTGTCCTCAGCCTGGATTGTGACATAAGGAAGGCTTTGGTCAATAAGCAAAGTTTGGTGGCTGTCTTCATAGACATTGAAAAAGCCTATGATATGTTAAGGCGTGAAGGCCTGGTGATTAAGCTCTATGATAGTGGTATTCATGGACGTATGCTCAACTGGATTCAAGACTTCCTTTGCAACAGACTGATCCAAGTCAGGGTGGGGAAGGTCTTTTCAGAAGGGACAGAGATTGATAATGGTACACCACAAGGAAGTGTGATAAGTCCAATTATATTCAATGTTATGGTAAATTATATTTTTAACTCTCTAGGTCCTTCATTCTTTACGGATGATGGAGCTATTTGGAAAAGAGGAAGAAACGTAGGATATGTGGTAGGGCAAATGCAGGCAGCTATTAATAGAGTGGTGCAATGGGGGCAGGATTGGGGTTTTAGAATTTCTGTTGAGAAAAGTAAGTTTGTGATTTTTGGAAATAAAAAAGTGGGCAGTCAGAAATTGACGCTGTATGGGCAGCAAATTGAAAGGGTGAGGGATTTAAAATTTCTTGGAGTAATCCTTGATGAAAAGGGTCTGTGGAAAAAGCAAATTGAGAAGGTTATAGTTAAATGTGAAAAGGTGATAAATGTGATGCGGGCTTTGTCAGGGAGTTGTTGGGGGGCTCTGAGAGAAACGCAAATGCTCATTTATCGGGCAATGGTGAGGTCAAGGTTGGGACTATGGGTGTTTAGCATATGGTAGCGCAGCAATGTCGCATTTGAATAGACTGGATGTTGTTCAAGCAAAAGCACTAAGGGTTTCTTGCGGAGCCTGCAGGTCAATTCCTGCACTGTTAGTAGAGGTAGGGGAATTACCATTAAGGATAAGACGAGACAAACTAGCGATGCAGTACCTGGTTAAACTAAGAGCTTTTACTGGGGACTTTCCAGCGAAACAGTTGCTAGATCCATCATGGGAGTTAGGAGCAAAAAGGAACTATGAACCTTTTGTTGTTACTGTGAGTAAAGAAATTGAGAAGTTGAGATTTAGAGAGGTGGGGGTTGCCCCTCAGCTGTTATGGCCAGCCATTCCTCCTTAGACATTACCATCCCCTGATATTGACATGTCAGTGTTAGAAGGTAAAAGGGGAAAAAATGATCCTGAATATTGTAACCTTGTAGAACAGGCGTTGGGAGGGAGATGGGAAGGCCATTTGCAGGTTTATACAGATGGCTCAAAGGAAAAGGAATCTGAAAGGACGGGGTGCGCCTTTTTTGTGCCTCAGTTAGATGTGGTTTTTAATAAGAGACTTCCAAATGAGATGTCTGTGTACACTGCAGAAATTAAAGCGATAATATGTGCTCTTCAGTGGGCAAAGGCCACTAAACAAGGTCAGATTGTAGTATGTTCAGACTCAGTGGCTGTGTTAAGCTCTATAGGTTTCAATAAAGGCAATGCCAGGCTCGATCTAGTGATCGAGTTGCTGACTGAAATTTCTGAGATTGAGAAAGCAAAGGGGTCTGTGGGGTTCCCCTGGGTCCCGGCTCATGTTGGTGTATGGGGCAATGAAGTTGCAGACAATGCGGCAAAACAGGCATTGAAAAAACCTTTAGAGTGTAGATTAGTGCCAGGGGTGCTTGAGTGGAAAGCTAAGATTAAAATCCATAGTACAGCTGCTTGGCAAGCAATTTGGGATGGGGACAGCAGGGGGCGACATTTATACGCTATCAATCCCTCTGTTAAATGTAATCCTATAATGTGTGTTAAGGATAGAAGGAGTGAGGTCATCCTTACCAGGCTGAGATTAGGGCATTGTGGGCTAGTGTGGGACAGATTTATAGTGGGGAAACATCAAAGTGGGTTATGTGCACACTGTAACAAGAATCAGACTGTGAGTCATGAATTCATGGATTGTCCAGTATATTCTCATCAGCGGTCTTGGGCTTTGTACGAGCAGCTGAGCTGCATATCTGGTTATAGAGGATAGGCTTGAGCCTATTCTTTATGGAAGTTGTTGTAGAGCACAAGATGACCGGGAAAGGCAGCAATGCGCGATGAGGCGCCAAGTCTGCCGGAAATTAAAAGAAGAAGAAGAACGCCTCAGAGGCTGCAACACCTAAGCAAGAGGCACCACTAATCAAAC